CTTACTCTCCATTTCTCACGTGCAGGTTGTGGGTCACTGTCAGCACTACACAGACAGCAAGAGTTTTCTGTGCGGGCAACTTTTGTCTGGGAGGAATCTTCATCCATACTGAATTTTTGGGAGTTGGATGGCCAATTTCAGTGGAGTGCTCCTGTAAGCAGAGGAATGTCGTTCAACCCAGGAATGAAAAGTCTTATCCTTACTCTAACTCTAACCCTAACCACAAACCTAAGCCTAAACCAAATCCTAACCCTAACCCTAACCCTAACCCTTACCCTAACCCTAAACGCTAACCCGAACTCTAACCCTAACCCTAACCCTGACCCTAAACCTAACCCTAAATCCTAACCCTAATCCTAACTCTAACCCTAAACCCTAACCCTAATCCTAAACCCTAACCCTAAACCCTAACACTGGACTGCTCTTCCTCCCAGGAAAGAAAGCCCTTACCATCCGTCTCTCATGTGCAGTTGCTGTGCCACTCTTAGCACTACTTGGACAGCAAGAGCTGTGTGGGTACTTATTTTCTGGGAGGAATCTTCATCCGTAGTGAATTTTGCGAATTGGACAGCCAATTTCTGAGCAGGGCTCCTGCAAGCCAATGACTGCTGTTTCACCCAGGAAAAAAAGCCTTTCCTCTTTGCCTCTCATGTACAGTTGGTGTGAGACTCTCGGCACAACATGGACAGCAAGCACTTTCTGTGTGGGCACCTTTTATCTTACAGGAATCTTCGCCCGTATTGAATTTTGGGAATCAGATGGTCAATCTTTGAGCACGGTTCGCGCTAGCGAAAGACGGCCGTTTCACCCAGGAAGAAGACTATTATCCTAACACTAACCTTAACTCTAACACTAACCCTAACCCTAAATGCTAACCCTAACCCCAAGACTAACCCTAAATCCTAACCCTAACCCTAATCCTAACTCTAACCCTTACCCTCCGTTTCTGCACATGTGCAGTTTGTAGGTCACTCTTAGCTCTACATGAACAGCAAAAGCTTTCTGTGCGGGCACCATTTATCTGGGAGGAATCATCCTCCTTACTGTATTTTGGGAGTCAGACGGCCAATTTCTGCACAGGGTTCCTGGAAGCCAACGACTGCCGTTCCATCCAGGAAGAAAACCCTTATCCTTATCATAATCCTAACCCTAACACTTACCGTAACCCTTAATCCTAACCATAACCCTAGACCTAACTCTAACCGCAACCCTAACCCCAAATACTAACCCTAATCCTAAAACTAACCCTAACCGTAAACCCTAACCATGACCCTTACCCTCAGTTTCTCATGTGCAGTTTGTGGGCCACTTTCAGCACTACATGGACAGCAAGAACTTTCTGCGCGGGCAACTTTTGTCTGGGAGGAATCTTTGTCCATACTGAATTTTTGGGAGTCAGCCAATTTCAGTGCAGCGCTCCTGCAAGCGAACGACTGCCGTTCTACCCAGGAAAGAAAGCCTTGACCTCTGTCTCTCAAGTGCAGATTGTGCACCACTCTTGGCGCTAACGGACAGCAAGAGCTTTCTGTGCAAGCACTTCTTGCTTTGGAGGAATCTTCTTCTGTATTGAATTTTGGGAGTCGAACAGCCAATTTCAGTGCAGTGCTCCTGCAAGCGAACGACTGCTGTTCCACCCAGGAAGTAAAGCCCTGACCCTCTGTCTCTCAAGTGCAGTTGGTGGGCCACTCTCAGCACTACCTGGACAGCAAGAGCTTTCTGTGCAGGTCCCTTTTGTCTGAGAGGAATCCTCGTCCGTAGTGAATTTTGTGAGTTGGACAGCCAATTTCAGTGCGGTGCTCCTGCAACTGTATGAGTGTTGTTCCACCCAGGAAAGAAAGCCCTAACCCTACTTCTAACCCTTCCCCTAACCCTAATCCTAAATCCTAAACCTAAACCTAACGCTAACCCTAACCCTTACCCCCCGTCTTTCATGCTCAGTTGGTGGGACACTCTTGGCACTACATTGTGGGAAACCAAACAGGTGTTCAGGCTAGAGAGCCAGAGGCAGCTGCCCAGCAAGAGGCCTCAGAGATAACAATGGAATCCATCAGATGGCCTTGGGCAGTCTGTGAGAGTGAGAGAAGAAGTTGTTAACTTCAGCAGAAGGATACTTGTGATGAACACCTGTTATCAAAGTTAAAAATGAGAAAGAAAAGACTGCTTAAGTTAACCCCACCTATGAAATATGTATTGATTTATAATTAGTAGCGACAGTGTTGTTAGACAATTTGAATAGTGTGGATAAGTTTGAAAAACGTGTGTAAGAGTATATTAAATAAGTCCATGCATGCCTCTTTCTCTGTAGTCTAGAAATCCCTGCACTAAGTGTGATAAAAATTCTTTAATGCAAACATTGCATGCCATTCTGCCATTCTGGTTGAATTCTGCTCCTTTCTGCAGGATGAGGAAGAGAGAAGAATAAAACCTCTATTTTTTAGTGATGCAGTTAGATTGGCTTTATTAAGTCAACATAGTAAAAGAATAGTTAAAACTGTGTCAGAATAGGTAAAAGGCGTCGGCACTACATGGACAGTAAGGGCTTTCTGTGCAAGTACCTTTTGTCTGGCAGGAATCTTTGTCCATACTGAATTTTGGGAGTCGGACAGCCAATTTCAGCGCAGTGTTCCTGCAAGCGAATGACTGTCATTCCATCCAGGAAAGAAAACCTTGACCTCCATCTCTCAAGTGCAGTTGGTAGGTCACTCTCAACACTACATTGCCAGCAGGAGCATCCTGTGCAGGGCACCTTTTGTCTGGGAGGAATCCTCCTTGAAACTCAATTCTGGGATTTAGACTGGCAATTTTAGGGCAGGGTTCCTGCAAGCAAACAACAGACCTTTTCCCAAGGAACGAAAGCCTTTTCCCTCCTGTTTTCTTGTGCAGTGTCTGTGAGACAGTGAGCACTGCTCAAGCAGCAAGACCTTTCGGTCCTTGCACCTTTTGTCTGGGAGGAATCTTCTTCTGTATTCAATTCTGCCAGTCGGAAGGGCAGTTTCAGCGCCAGGCTCCTGCAAGCAAACAACAGCCTTTTTTCCCAGGAAAGGAAGCCCTCACCCTCGTTAAAGCACTTACCCTAGTGGTTTCTAGTGCAGTGTCTGGGTCACCTTGGAGATTCCATAACCAGGAAGAGCTTTCTCTCCTGGTCCCTTTCATTTCGGAGGAATCCTTGATGGTATTCAATTCTGGAACTCAGACTGGCAATTACAGCTCAGGGCTCCTGTAAGCAAATAATAGCCCTTTTCCCAAGGAAAGAAAGGTCTTGCCCTCGTGGTTTCTGCTGCAGTTGGTGGGTCAACCTAGGCACTCCAAAAGCAGGAAGTGCTTTCTGTCCTGGCACCTTTGGTCTGGGAAGAATCTTCTTCCATATTCAATTCTGGAGTCGGAGCGGGAAATTTCAGCGCAGGGCTGCTGCAAGTGAACAACAGCCCGTTTTCCCAGGAATGAAAGCCCTGACCCAAATGCTTTCTGGTGCAGTGTGTGGGGCACTCTGGATACTCCAAAAGCAGCAGGAACTTTCTGTCCTGGCACCTTTGGTCTGGGAGAAATCCTCGATGTTATTCCATTCTGGGAGTGGGAGTGGCCATTTTAGGGCAGTGGAAGTACATGCGAACATCCCTTTTCACTGGGAATGAAAGCCCTTACCCTGATAGTTTCTGGTGCAGCCTTGTCTAATTGCATAGCTGAGTGTTTAATTCCTTGTGTTTAAGGAGGCACAGCCACCTGATCTGAACAGAGGTAGAGGTACAACAGATACTGGGAATTCCTATGCTCATATGAGAATGGGGAGAAGCTACAGCTAAGTGCACAGTGAAGTAACTGTGTTAGGATTTATGCCAAAATAAATATTCTATTTAAAAACTGAGGGAATATCCTGAGGGGATATATATGAGAACTGACAGCTGAGGAGCATGAAAGGAGCAGGCACAGGGGTTAAATATCTGGGAGTTAGATACTGAAGGCAACAGAAGAGGCTGGGTGAGAAGGGTGAGAGACTATATCCATCATTATGTACTTTCCCTATCTTATAATTAAAAAAATTGGGTACTTTTGAGGTGGTGAAAATGTACTGCTAGTGTTGTTTTCTTTACTAATTCATATGCACTTTTTTCACTTCTAGTGCTCTTAAAGTTGAGGTGATAAATGCTGTGAGCAGGGAGCAAGGCAGCAACTTTGGTGGAAAAACTGATGTGCCTGGGTGTGGGTATTGGTGTGTTTTTTTCTTTTTTAATTTGAGCTAACTAGATATAACCCTAGAGCAGAATAGCTAATAGAGGAAGCAGTGTTTGCAATTCACTGAGCTTTGCATCACACTTAGCAATGATTCTTTACTGTGAGCTACATTTCAGTCATGTTTGGTAGCAGGGTGACAGTGGAAGCTTCAGTGAGTTTTGGGTACTGCATCCATTTCGGCTAATGCAGTAACTGTCCCACAAAACCAGCATCAACCCTTTTGGCACTAGAAGGAGATCTTTAAAACCTAGTGCAATGGGTTCCTGCTCCTAGAACTAACACTTACCTACAAAGAATAGACTGCACTGCTGTTGATGAGAAAGCTCTCAGTTAAATACGTTACTCATGATTCAGGTACTTACTGGTACTTAGTGCTTATGACTGAAGACTTGTTCTAATGGGGAACATGCAGGAGGCTGAGGGACGTGGATCAGTTTTGAGGAAATCTGTTGAATGCTCTAAACTAGAGAAAGGATCAGGCAACATTCTGTTCTTGGAAGCATTTTAGAGCTACCTGTTTCACCTGGTTGTTATGTTTCTTCCTTGGTCTGTAGATATGGGCACCTACAACAGCCTGTGAGCCCAGACACCTGCAATAAAGGGGAGGAAACATACAAGATATTTTCACCAGATAATCTGCAAGGGTTAAATAACCACGTTTCATAACCATGGTAGAAGTCTTCCTACAGAAAATTGGTGCCAGATTGGTGACTGAATTTTGCAGGAATACCTTGTGCAACAGAGACCTTCCCAGCATTTTCTGCAGTTACTTTAGTGCAAAGAAGGTAGGGAAAGGTGATAGTCAAAGAGAATTGTAATAAATTGAATTTGTGGTCACTTTCATGTTAGATAACGTGACAGGTGCATCCTCTTTTACTAGGAGCAGTTTTGCAAGCTGGTGCCAAAAACTGGGGTGCAAGTTTAGAGATCCTTTGAGGACTTCGTCCCTTGAGGTGGACACTGGGAATGTTCAGCTAATAGTGAGGTGCCCACTTTGTCATCTTCTTTTCTTTCCAGTGTCTGTATTTGTCCCTAACCCAGTCTTCCTTTGTGGGTTCTTGTGCTGCTGGTAAGATACACTTCAAGTGAAACATACCTCTCTTTTTTTAAATAAAAGTCATCTCTTTCAAAAGAAAAAGTGCAAATTGAAAATACAATATTTTTGACAATACGGCAGAGTATTAAATTTATAAATATAAATTACAACTGAACATTTAGTCTTATTTAGAATTTTACATAAAATTAATACGATAAACTGCAAAGAAAAAGACATCCGTAACTTCTCCTGAGAAACTTTCATCATCAGTTCAAAATCAGTTAAAAATCCCTCAAAATCAGTTTGACAATTGCCAAACAGTTTGTGCGTCATTGGCAAAAGGTTTTTGAGTTGCAAGAATCAGCACTGGTTTCTTATCTTTCAAGTTCTGCTTCCAAGATTTCTCCTCATGTGTCAACGCCCATGGGATACATGATTTTCTCTGGTAAGCTATGTTGTGAAGGAATGTTGCTATATTTCCCTCTCAGCCATTCTTGCTTCACCTTGTTTTTCTGGTACTTTCTCAATAATGTGATCTGGTGGAAAAAAAACATTACTCAGATTTTGGAAATGAAACAATTTAGGCAGCATTCAACACTAGTAAGTTTTGCCTTGGAAGAGTAAGGCTAGAAAAAGGACTTGGAATGTGCCTTTAGATCTCTAGACACTAAGCCCAGGAAGGTGCAGTGCTGCCAAGAAGCTGACCTTGGTCTACTTCCAACTTTTCTGTTCAAAGTTGGGTGGAAAATCAATTCCTGCCTCAATTCTTTGATGGTCAAGATGAAAAACCTAAACCAGAAACTCATTTTAACTCTTTAAAAGAGGCACCTTTCACTTTCTCTTTCTGGTTAGGTTATCTGTGACATTTAACTCTGGAGGCTGGCTGGATTCTTCTCTTCCATCAACCTTTTATGGCAAGAAAATGCTGACTTGGTGTGTTTGTTGCTTCAATTTCAAATCCCCTCCAGATAAAACAGATGATCAGTGCAGGGAATTCTGGAAATTGCTTTGCAAGGGTATCGAGATCTGTACACCAAAAGGGCAACCACTACCTCACAGTGCAGCAACTCTACCAAAATGTCAGAGCCCAGAACTGTGGCTTCCTTGGTTTCTTTAGCTGCTGCTTTTCTCTCTTTTCACCCTTCCACTGCCCCCCCCTGCTCTTAAACACACCAGCTGAATTGAGGGTGGGGGAATTACCTGGCCCGGAGTAACCTGTGGAACCTGTTACCAGATCCTTTCCTGATCTACCTCATCTTCCAGGCTGGATTCAACAGTGAGAGATCATCAACTGTGTTCTGGAGCTGAACCTGCCCCTAACTCCTCAGACCAACTGTAACTGGGACTATGTTAGGGGAGATTTTCAAAACAGCCTTTAAAAGTTCCTACTTGTTTCCCTTTCTACACTCCAATTTTTTTTCTCTTGGGTACGTGTTGCTGAAGGTGTATCAAGGCAGAGCTATCCAGGATGATTTTCCAGGAAGCAATTCCTAACCAGCATACCTATTCCTACGAAATACTTCCGGAGAGCACACATTGCCTAGTCAGCATTATGTTATCTGCTCCCTCCCAGCCCTGTCTGCATGGGCTTTGTCCCATGTTAGGGCTTTGCTGGGACGAGGGTCAGCGCTGAGGCTGTGCAGGGAAGGGTGAGGATTAACCGGGATGTGACAGGTGTGGACCTGGGCAAGAAAAAGGACAGCCTGGGCAGGAAAAAGAACAGCTTTGCCTTCCTTCTCAGTCCATTTTACCAGCCTTCCGGCTACGGAGCCGCACTGTCACCACAGCGCTGCCCCCATCACCCTGGGATGGGGCGAGACGCGCCGATGTTATTTCCTTCCACATTCTCACCGCCCAACCTGGAAGCCTCGCTGTGTCCCCAAGGTGGGATTTACCTTCCAGGAATAGTCCTTCCCGCAGTCGCAGTCGATCTCGCGCCGGCAGACGGCCCGCACGGCCAGGCAGTGGTGCCCGTTGCCCTCGATGACGCATGCCAGCCCTTGCACGCCGAAGACGCGTGGCACAGGCTCTCCACGTCCAGGCCGCCGAAAATCCGTGAGCTCACCTAGGGAGAGAGGGCGGACACGAAGACCCCCTGTCCACCTCCTCCTCCTCCTCCTGGTCCTGCTCCTGCAGCGCTGTCTCGGCCGCCGGCGCTCTCCGCGTCCATCCCCGCGGCCCCGGGGCGGGGCGGCGTCACCGCGGCCGCTGTCGCGGTGTGTTGGGGCGGCCGTGGACGGCAGCGCCCGGGGCTGGATGCCCACTTGCCATGTCCCTGCCGTCCATGTATTGCCTCCCTTGTTTTGGGGCCAATCTCCGCAGCTTCGGGCCCGCGGAGGCGGTGCCTCACCGCATCACGAGGCAACCTCGCGTCATCAGAAGGCGGTGGCTCCTGCCGGGATCGGGGTCGGTTTTGCTTGCGTTCCCGTTTCGGCCTCGCGGAGCCGTGGGCCCGAGGTAGCGGCACCCCCTCGCAGGGCCGGGATGAGTCGTGTCCACAGGGGATTAGAGGGGCAGCACCGTGTCCGGGCTCGGGGCACCGCCGGGTCCGTGGCGAGGGGAGCTCGGGACCAGCGGAGAACAGAGGGGATGGCTGGGGGAATGGGGTGTCTCTCTTAAGGTGAAAGGATGAGGGAGCTGGGGCTGCTCAGCCTCGTGAAGAGATGGCTGAGAGGGGACCTTATTAATGTGTATAAATATCTTCTGGGGGGTACCAAGAGGATGGAGCCAGGCTCTGCTCGGTGGTGCAGAGTAATAGTACAAGACACAACGGGCAGAAACTGATGCACACTTTCCAGCTGAAAGTGAGGAAGAACTCACGGTGTGAGTTCTTCTTTACTGCATGGGTGGAATAGGTTGCCCAGAGAGGTTGTGGAGTCTCCCTCACTGGAGATATTGCAGAACTGTCTGGATGCAATCCTGTGCCATGGGATGGCACATCATCTGGGATGACACTGCTTGAGCAGGGGTGTTGGACCAGATGACCCACTGTGGTCCCCTCTATCATAACCCATTTGGTTATTTTGTGAGCCCCTGGAGAACCAAAACCTCCCAAACAGCACCTGGAGGGGCCTTTTTGGGCAGAGCCTGGCCTCTCTTCTCTTGGCCCCTCCTGCTTCTCTTCATGAGGCAATGAAGAGAAAGTTCAACTGGTCATCATATGCCTTCCCTGGAGTGTAGAGAGCTGCAGAACAGGTGTTAGTGACTCCCCAGTGTGGCTGTGCAGGGAATACAGCAGCAATTAGACTTGTTTTTCCTTAATGCTTTGTGCCAGTGAATTGAGTAGTGGAAGGGCAAAGTCTTGAAGGGAAAACAATTGCAGTTTGGGTGATTTTCACAGCTTAGAAGCATTTTGGATGTGGTGGCTCTGAACGGAGCTTTTGAAACCAGCATCTGAGTAGCTGGTGGCACCTGAGAGCTGCCTCTAGTGAGAACTTGCCAGAAGATGCTGGATTAATTGAGCACCTGACCCTGAAAACCATATCTTAAAATCATTGTCTGACATTTAGTGTAGAACTAGATTTTGGGGAGTTGCGCAGATTTACAGTGAATCAAATTCTGAGCTGTAATTTCAGCTTTCTCCAAGTTTTGTCATGGCAGTGCCCAGTGTAAATTCTGTACTTAAACCCCAGAACACCACAGCAGTGGGGCCAACAATGATTAGGGTCTTTTGTTCAAAATACTTCAGGTGTGAGGTAAAAGAAAGGCGTGTTTATTTCCTCTGTAAGTTGGTGTAATAGGATGTTGATGTTCAGTTTCAAAGTGTATTTATTAGTGACAAACATACAGACCAACTTTTGTGTTTGAGTCAAAAGTGCATGTTTATATTTGTGATGTGTGAGTAGCTAAAATATATTTTGCTTTGTCAGAAAAAACTGAGGAGGCTGATGCAGAAGAAGCACCAACTGTTCACGCTGTTGAGATGTCTTGTGTAACACTGTTAATGGAACCAGCACTTTCCAGCTCTGAGGTGCAAGGAGTTACAAAAATGAGAAATAATGATGCTACCTCTAGACATTTGGTGGATGCTTAATTTTTTAATGAAATTCATTATTTGTGTGTGTTGAAAATTACAAAGGTGTTGTGCTTTCTATACTTTTTTTTTTTTCCCCAAGAAGTAAATTACTGCAGACAAAGCTGAGTACTCAAAATTTGTTGCTTTATTGGTTGGGACTGTGTGCTGTGCAAGTACATAAATGTGTTACAGGAGTGTTTTGGACTCAGTGCTAGAGCTGAGTACAGAACAAAGTCCAGTTCTGGTCTCTGGTCCATATCAGTAACTGCCCCTGAGTACCTCTGAAGGCCTGGGGGAATGAATGACTGTTCCAACCAGCCCAAAAGCCTCTGAAAGAGGAGAGAGGAGAGCCTGGAGTTGGACTGTGGGTGTCTTGGGCTGGCTGTAAATAATATCTTTTTGTAGTGTCCTGGCAGCCTGTTTCATTTGGATTGTCAGCTGGGATGGAGCTGTGTTGTCAAGATCCATACAAACACATGGATAAACAATTCCCTGTTCTTTCCGTGGCTGTCCAGTAAAATAGAGTTTTCAAAGTGACCATCTTTTGCCTTTTTTTTTAAACACTGCCAAGTCCAGTGGCTTTCAGACAGTCTGATAAATAGTGTGGGGAGCAGGTTGGATTTTTCTAAACATCTTCTTTTGTGTATCCAGCACTAAAGCGACACATTGGTCAATATTGGGGTACAGTAAGTAACAACTGCACACAACAAATGAAGTGTCAGCCTTTGCTGTAGCTGAGATCCTTGGGGTGAACACTCACCTGTCAGTAAGTGGAGATTCAAAGTGATAGTGCTGCTTTCAGTAAATAATGAATGTGACTTTGGTGTATTTACACTGTTTTTGCAGACAGGATTTAGAGTCTGGTTACTTTCTGGAGAAAGGAACTGTAGGAATGCAACTAGCATTCCTACAATTCTTAAGAAGACTTTTCTGTTTGTGGGTTTTTTGTTTGTTTTGTTTGGGTTTTTTTGGACAAAGAGGCATTTGTTAAACCTGCTCTTTCTCTTATGTCTGTATGTGGAAACTCTAGAGCAAGGTGCTGGTGAAGGTCTTCTATGAAACTTTCAGTTTGTGGCGTTTTAGGTATTTATTCCAAAGGTCTAAGGAGAGAGGGTTTGTTCTACTGCATGAAGGTTTCTATAGATTTTGTTTTTCTGAGTGAGTAGGAACTATAAAACAAAAAGTAAGTGGTCACCCAGGCTGCAACTGTGTAGAAACTGTGATCTGGTTTCCTCCCCTTTTTGTAACTGGATTAAGGTACTAAACAGTACCTTTTAAATATTAAAGGTAAATATTGTTTCAGGTTCCTCTTTCTGATGACAATGAAAGCGAACAGTCAAAATTTATTCAAAGAAAGAGAGTGCTTCCATCTTGGATGCTGGAGGGAGATCTCCTGGTGCAGAGGGTGTCTGAGCCTGTAATGACAGCAGGTAGGTTTGCAGTGTGATACAATTGCATTCCAATATGCATTTCTGTGCTTTGATGTAAATTTCTTCCATTACAATGGTGGTGGTTGAAAGTGTTGATTTGTTACTTCTTTTTCCATCGTTCCTGCAGGGCAGCTGATGGAGAGTAACTTCTCTTGTCTCTTTTGTCATCAGTCCTATGAGTGTGATAGAGCTCTTTCTCATCAGTTGATTTTCTTTCTGTTCTTTTTTTTTTAATGCCAGATAATAAACTCCCATTGGACATCTGAGCATCGGATATTCTGTAGCCCTCTCCTATAAAGTTGTCTATTTCGTGTGTAAATTCTAGGTAATTTCTGTACCTTTAATTCCAGTCCTTCTCCACACTTAAGTCGTGATGTTTTGCCCTTTCAAATTTAATTCTAGTTTCACAGATTTTTAGAGTAGGATTTTTTTTGGGTGGTGCTGAGTGTTAGTTTTTTAACCGTGAGTGAATCAAACTTGATCATTTAGTCCAAAGTTACTTGCTTGGAGGAGCTGTTGTTCACAGTATAATACTTTCGTACCAACATGAGGCTAAAACAGTGTTGCATTCCTTCCTGTTCTTCCAGGAAAAGGAAATTAGTGAACTGCTGCTACTGTGTTCAGTCGCTGTCAGCAGGACGCACAAAGGTGCTGCATTGGCACAACCTCAAGGAAATTTTATAGTATGTCCAACTTTGGTTCTGGGAGCTTCTTATTTAAGCTGCCATTAGACAGACTTACTGCACGGCATTTATTGCCCTGATGACTTTAATTGGTGGAAGTGGAGGACTAAAAAAGTGAGAGAAGAGGAGGAAAATGACTTGGCAAAGCTCCCCTGGCATTTCTGTCCTCTGTGTGGAAGGCAGCACACCCCACCCACCCTGCTTGTCCTTCTGTGGAGAGGTGTGAGATGATTCGGGTGTGAGCAGCTGAGTTTCCTTTGTGAATCAGTCCAGAGCTATGAACTGTGGGTGGTGAGTGTGTGTCCACTCCTCTGTGTGCAGCAGCTCTGCTTTAGTGTCTTTCTTTCCAGCTGCTGTTTCTGCTGGGATGCTGTGATGGATTTGGTTCTTGATGCCCAAACAGCCCAACTGGAGTATTTCATACAGCATCTGACCAGTGATTTCTTCTCTCCTGTAGTAATTACAGGTGTCTGTGTGATCTGGGCAACTGTGTGACCTGGGCAACTGTGGCTTTAAACACCTCAGTCATGTGCCATCCACGACCTTGCCTATTCCTTCCCTCAAAAGCTAGTTTTGAGAAAATTATAAGAAGCAAAAGAAAATTTATGTTTTGGTGTTTTTTTTCTTTTTTCCCCTTTCCAAATCAAGACTGTTCTCCACTTGCTTATTCCTTCAGATGTAGAAATTGAATGTACCAGAGGACTTCAGCTGGTTGAGTCCTGTACTGATATGATTGTTTTCTTATGTTTGTGGTTTTGTTTTGTATTTTTTGGGGAGTGGAGTTGGTTTAGTTGGTTTTTTTCTGAACAAGCACTATAACATTTGTTATATGTGTGAATATAATGTTTGTTACAAAGATTGGCTGCTGTGATTGTGCTGGTATTGAGATTTGGAGTTGTGTGGGTTAGAGGTATCTGAAGGCCTGACCTTGAGGGAGCTGGGGTGACATGCAGACTGTGTTGGAGCTGTTAAAAAATTTATTGCATGAGGTCTTTCCAGCTTAGAATGGGATGTTTTAATAAAACAGCCAATCTCTTCTGCAAATCAAAAATATTTTCTTAAAGCTGTGAAGTGGTTTGCATCTTTTTAAGGTGATATTGGATGGGAATATAGAAAGGTAAAGAGGAACTCGAAAAAGCTACCCTTTTATGCCTTTCTGTCTTCTAGTTAGAAAGGTGGCACTGATCTGTGCGTTCGAAATCAGGCATTAAAATTTGGGAAAATTCCTTGCTTCATACACATCACTCTGGCACATTTTTTTGAAGGAAGAGAGTTTTTTGAGTCTTTTAAAATGGCATCGAGTATCTTCCTTCTGAATGTGTTTTGCAGCAGATGAAGCTATAGCAAAACCAGGAGGGTGGCCCTGGGTCTCTCCCAGCTACATATCCAGAAAATACTGCTTCAGTACAGAGATCTTGAGGTTTCCTGGGATGTGAACTTTTTCAGAGAGACAGAACTTTATTTCACTGTCTTTTTCTGTGTTGGTTATTGGCTGATGAAATGATCAGCCATGATGTGGTTGCCCAGGGAAATGGGCACACTCTGATTTTACTGTGTCCTAATTAATGTCTGCCCATATAAACAGGTGGTCTGAAGGGACAGTTACACCAAAGGTCTGTGGTAAGCCATTGTCACTCATACTGATACATTCGCTCCAGAATATCCTTTGCCACATATTTATTGTTTTCCTCCAAATTCCCCCTTAAATGTCTGTTTCGTTCTCAAACATACTTTTTACTCCTATAAGCAGTAAGTGTAAAATGTGTTGTTGAAACAGCACAGGCACAACTGCTGTTGTGTCTTGTGCCATTTGCCCTATGTTCTGCTTTGATGTAGCTGTAGATTTCCAATGTGGTCAGGATTTCACTGAAAAAATTGCATTCTGAAAGTACCCCCTTTTTTTTTTATTATTTTTTTTTTTTTAGGTCACAGAAAGAAAAAAGGCCATGGAAGGAGAGAAAGTGACATGGAGTCATTGAAATCAGAAATAAATGTGCAACAGAAAAAAAGATTAGCTTCTGGAGAAACTATAGAGGATTTTGAAGGTGAGGAGCAAGATCAAGGGAAAAGGAGCTGCCTTTCCATCCGTATTCCTTCATCTCAGGTAACTTTTTGGCTTGGGGAAGAACCATGTTATTGCAAAAAAAAATTGAGAATGTAGTTGGCAATATCAGGTTGAAGGCTGGGTCTACAACATAACTTTGTCTTCTGCTTGTGGTTTGTTGTTTTGAAATACCAGTCCGTTAGGCAGCTCTGCAGCAAGGATCATGGAAATCTTCAGTGACTTGGTTTTCTGCATTTCCTCCTTGGAATCTGGGAATCACACTGGACATGTTCCATAGAAATACTAGACTTTGAGCTTTGCAGCAAGAGGCAGGAAGGCATGGGCCAAAGCACAGGTCCTAGGAGTGGCTTGGCGTGTGTGGTTTCTTTTTCTGAGAATCGTGAGGGGACAGGTGATAGTGTGACACTGGGCTTTACCCAAGCTATTGCCATTCTAGTAGGTGAAGTTTTATGGTCAGATAATGATGGTGTGGGGCTCAGCAGCTGCTGTGTTTCAAAGGAAGGGTAGCATGGAGTGTGCTTATGCCACTGTCTCAAAATCTTTGAGTCAAAAAAAAGGAAAGGGAAAAAAAAAAGTAACCTGAAATCCCAAACAGTTTGTGGCAATGAGTGAACACACCCTGCAGTCCAGCTGGTCACTGTCTGTGTGACCTCACAGCAGTTTACAGGCAGCCAAATCCTTACTGACAGCAACTTGCAAGTGAGGAAAAGAGAAGGATCATTGCCAAAGAAAAACAAAGCAAATGCTGGTGAGAGCAAACTGAGGCTCTCATTTGTATCCTCTAAGTGAACAGCCTGGAGAGGTGTTTTTAATGTCTAGCATTAGAATTGCATGGATCTGTTCCAGGATCTGATAAAACACTTAAGGCAGTATTATTTGGTACGATTTTGACACTGAAGAAGATTTTGTTGTTTTAATTAAATCTTAAAGTTAATTGAAATGAACTGCTCATGGAGAGCAAACCCTTCAGAGTAGTTTTGGTGTAACAGTGGTTAATCTGGAAAAGTGTTCCAAGTGGTGAACTTTGCTGTTCATTAGATGCATTAATAACAGCTGCTGTGCTATTTTCTCTTTGTTAGATTATTAGGTGACTACATAATGAATTATTCCATTTTGCGATTTTTAAGTATGAAACCTTACTTATTTTCACCTAATAATTTCATAAATAATTCAGTCTCAAGTGCAGTGTAAGAAATTGCCTTTGTAACTTTGCAGGAGAACTAATGGGTTAGGGCAAGCAAAATTAATTGTCATAGAGAGCTCTGAAAGACGGTAATTTTGATGTCAAAGCCCAAATCGTGGTCCTGCTGTTGCATTTAAGGCGATTGAGAAAATGTTCTGTAGGGAAAAAAGCAAAAATAATCTGAATTGTTGTAAGCAGCAGCAGCCACCAGAGAGTGCTGAGGGCCCATCCATGCTAACCCAGTGCTGGAGTGCAGGCGGCTTTTTTTTCCCTGGATCATAGCCTGGTGTGTAGCTGATCCTAATGAGTGAATTTAGTCTCGTTAAGTACAATACAAGCAATGAATGTAGTAGAGAGTCACAAGTGGGAGCGGGAAATTAGGGTAATTTGTGCCTCCCTTTGCAAAGGAAGGCGGATTTCTTCAGCTGCAGTTGTTTGCTGAGCCTTATTTTGGGGGTTGTCTTCGAGTTACTAACTGTGCTGGTGTCAGGATCATCTGATATTAATGCTGATTTTGCCCTTAATCACGTTGCTACTCAAAAGTAATTGTCTCTGGTTTTGGATAAAATTTTATGAGGCTTGCATTGAAAGGAACAAAATCAAACAGGAAACCACTGGCTGCTTTTCAAGCTCTGCCAGACATATATGTGTAAACTAAGTATAAATTTACTGGAGGGGAAACTTGGATAATAACCTGCAGAGAGCAGGGACCTTGGAATAGTTCTGTGATGTATCACAGTAGTTCAGCCTTCAATGTAGGTATGCTTCCAGGTAATGTCTCAGTTGTCAGGACAGTGTTCTTGTCTTGGTTATATGTCTTGTATTCTTTTTCTAAACAACACATCTCTCACTTTAAATATACATTTGTTCCAAAATTTAAAATGCAGTATGTGTCAAAGCTGAACTCTTTTGTCTGATCGTATCGATGACAGACTGTTTTATGATTTAGTCATGATCTGAACAATTTCAGATGTATCAGGGTGGGTTTAAGCTCAAGGTGTGTATCATGAATTCCCATATATCTTCATATATAGATAAATATATATATATATATTCCATATATCTTAGTACTTAGCACATTAAAATTGATTCAACTATAGGAGTGTCCATTCTTATAGAGTCTACTGTATCTTCATCTATATAATGCCCATTAATTTTTTCAAAAGGAGTACTTTTGTTTGGAGGTTAATTTAAATTAAAGTCCTTGGACTGTTCACAGACTGAGGTGGTGAGAGAGGAGCCTGTGCTATTAGGGAACTGAGGCCAAGAATGGGAGCTTTAGGATAAGTTTTCTTTAAAGTGTGTTTTGTGTTGTTTTCTTAACTCCAACCTTTCATTCAGCAGCTCTATTTAGCAGTGAACTTTGAGCTTGGACAGTGGATTAAAAGATTTTAAAGGCTGGACTAGATGATCTTTTGAGATCCTTTCCAACCTGGACTGTTCTATGGTTCTCTGATTTTGAAAGCAGGAATGATGAGGCACAGTTTGACTTTTAAAGCTTTGAATTCTGGAGTGTAAATTTTCAGGTCCTTCAAAATGTAACCTTGTTCCACAGAATACATCTGGATTTCTTCTTGAGAATACCACAAGAGATAAGGAAGGAAATGGCAAGACTGGAACAAAAAACACCGGAAGTTCTCTGGAAAAAAATGGTAGGCAGCTGCATAGCAAATGTTCTAAAAGAGTAGGTCAGACCTCCAGTAAAGACAATAGAACTGAGGAAATGGAAAACAAAGAGCAGAGTACTGGTTCTACAAGCCAAGAAGCTCACTGGGGCAAGACTTCCTAATATTGTGGTGCCCGGGAAGGGATTCTTGAGCCTGATGCAAGTATGGATTGCGAGACTGAGATTTCGGATTCAACCGGAAGTGCAGATGCTTCAGAAAGCTCAAAAAATATCCAGCATAAGAGGTCACCTTGCATGTATGGAAGTGCCTGTTACAGGTAAAGCAAAATTAAAACTAGCTTGGGCTAGCTTGCTATTTAGAAGTAATATATTAGCTATGGAAGAGAAAATAATAAAATCATTACAAGTATTAATTTGAAAAAAGATCTTTTGGTGAACGGGGGACTGATGAGAAACAAATGGCAGAACAATAATTTTAGAAGGGTAAAAGGAGGAACCAAGATATCTTGCTGACTGCTAATATAGCCCAAACAAGGGTTGAAGTACTCACCAATTAAAAGGTGAAGTGTTATAGGAAGTAAGAGACAAAGGTCCATTATAAAAAGAAATAAAAGACCTGTGTGTACAGTACCAGGAACCAGCAGGAAGAAGAGATGTAAAAGGTTGAAATGCCCAACTGTGGTGGGGGAAAAACAGTTTTACCCCTGAAGCTATAAAATGGTAAATCCCCAGGGGGTGGTGACACTTGAGGTTTGAGCCAATAAGTGCTTCTGCAAAATATAAACATATCACACTTAGACCGGAAAAGAAAGTAGTTGTAGTTGTTGTTGGAGAGGTGGCCATGTTGTGAAAGCCATGAGCTGAGGGGCAGGAGCCCCCCTGGGGGGCTACAGGGACTTGGAACAGTGTTAAACTGGGCCAAGTTCTGTAGCTGAGAGCTGAAGGAGTTTTCTCCACCGTGAGCAGCAGAAGCGGCGGCAAAAACAACGCTGTCCAGAGAAAGTGGCAGAGAGCCAAGAGATAAGAACTGAAGAAGCAGCAAACGAGCATGCAGCCGAGCAAGAGAGACACAGAGTTGTCCAAGAGAAAGAGAGCCATCAGCAGAGAGAGAGCAGAACTAAGCTCTACAGAGAGAGAGTTTTGGGGTAAGAACTGAACCAAACCTCCCCAAACTCCTCGGAGACCCCTCCTAGAGAGAGGAGGATGATGGACTCTTACTTGAAAGAGTCTTGGAGTGCTACAGCACTGCAGAAAGGAGCTGAAAAGCTCAGAGAAGGAATGCGGAAGGGGTGACCTTGGGCCCCCCCCCCCCGCCAAGCTTGCAGTTTTGAGTCAGAGCACGGGATCTCTGCAAAGGGGCTTGAATCCTCTGAAGATACGGACCGTCGCGAAGGCTTCTGCACTTCGTTGATATGACCGTGGTGAAGTGACCTTTGTCTGGGTGAACGCAGCTCACGGAAGAGAAGACCCTCACTTGGAGACGAAGGGCTGAGAGGGGCCTGGATACCCCCTCGTGTGTACTGGCAGAGATCCAGCTACACCTGCTGATGAGAGAAGAGAGCCTGCTGCTCTGGAGAGACAATGCTGCTCTGAAAGTAGAAAGGATCTCTTCCTTCTTCCCTCCTGGACTTTTATTTGGAAGGGAGAAGAGATTTGATCCATTGTAAATACTGTTATGTCATGGTAGAGATAGTTAAGATTGTATGTAATGTATTGTAGTATTTATTTTGTACAGTCATTGTAATATATAATCCCTTACCCCCATTTTGAGTCTTGCGTGGTGTCTGGAAAACCCATCTCACACTGGCTTGAGATGGGGTGGAGGCTTGCCCTGGAGAAGTGGATTTTAGGGCTCTCAAACCAACATAGACCCTGTAGGCTTATTTTATTAGCAGGTGAGACTTGTATGAAAGATGATTGTATTTATTGAAGTTTTTTTATTTTTTTTTATTTATTGCCTGCTTTGTGATCTGAGTGTTTAAAATACTTATTATTTGTCACCCCTAAATAATCAAAAATTTCTTTTATTATAACTTTGCCTTTTGGTGCTTTTTTTTAAGCTTTCATTTCCCCCTTAAACCAGAACAAAGTTCTTAAGTATGCTTTGTTCCAGTGAAATTCCAGAACAACAGTACTGGGTGCTTAGCCTCCTGCTAGTTATTTCTGCCCAGAAAAGATCTGTGGTGTCCTGTGTTGTTATACTGAAGGGAAGCTTGAAATCTGGAGGTGCTCTTGAGACCTGGTGACCTGAGAACTAAATTTAGGAGAAGATTTTGAGCTCTAGATAAAGTCATGTGCATTGTAAACACAAAAGATATGGCTAATCCAGGAAACAGGGAGTCCTGTGACTTTTTTCTCCTTCCCCAAAGAGACTTGAGCAATAAGAAAAACAGTGAGTTTGAGGAGAAAACAACTAAGCACAAGTGATTGTATGTTTGGTGGGCCTAATGCTAAGGTAACTGTGTATATCAAAACCATAAAGCTGTTGTGTTTGTGAGCACATCATGCTTCAGTTTTCATGTATCTCTTTTTCTCCCTTAATGATTATGATGAAAACATGTTTTATTAGACAATTTAGTTGACCTAGTACTACAAATGCAGCCTCTGTTTTGCTCCAACTACTTTTAATTTTGCTCGGACAAGTTTTCCCTTGTATGGGTGTTAAGGTGATTTAATGCTCTGATATGCTGAAATATTCCTAATCTTTAGGAAGGCAAATCTTAGGTACAGGTAATAAGGAGTAGGAGTCTACATGTGCACATTTCTTCTTGGTTTCTTCTCTTGATTGCAAAACATTTGGCAACAATACTTTTGGAAAGTATTGGTTTATAAGAAAAAATGTTCTAAAATAACACATATTAATCCTACTTAGTCAAAGAAATTTGTAAATAGGGAGTATCAAAAATATCAGCTTTGATCTTTGGGAAATGTCATGAGACGGAATCTGCCTGTTTGCAGTAATAGAAATGTGCTTTGTAATCTTTCTTTGTATTTGCTTTTAATTCAAGGCCCCCAAATAGCTGTTTCGGCATTGGTGCAGAGCTCTGTTAGAGCACAGTATTAAAGTATTAAGTATTAAATCTATTAATTTGATAAGATATCTCTTACACCTGTCTTAAACATTTAGGAAATAACTTTGTAACCCGTAGTTCAGTTTCTTCATTTATGAATTTGAAATCACTGGTTTTGAAAGAACCAAGCTTGATGGAACCTCTCACCCTAGGGAATCTTCTTGTCACCTTCCTGCAGTGTCATGTTTTCTTTCTGAGGTGGCCTGAGGCTTTACCAAACTGAAAGGAACTGCTGTTACCACTGGGAGACAAAGTGCTCTGTGTGTGTTGTAGCTACCTATATTTGTTGTCAAGGAACTCACCCTCTGAATACTGTCGTGTGCTCTTTTTCTTGTCTGTTGCTTGTTTTTCTGAAGCTAGAAGAACAGGAAGTTAAAAATAAAAGTAAATCCACCACCACTCCCCTTTTCAAAGGCAACATATAAGTGTACAGGAGACCCAAACTTTGTTCTCACCTTGGAACTCACAAATTTTGTCCAAAATTCAATCCTTTTGCCGTAGCCTGGGATACAGTTCTCTGCTGAATGGGGGTGTGTAAATCTCTTCTGTACCTGTCAAAGCAGGAGGTGCTCAACCAACCTTTGGATTTTTCTGTTCTTCTAAATATTTGGCTATTTGATTGTTTGTAAAATTATTTTTCCTTTCACCTTAAGCTTGTAAGTGTGGCAGCTAAAGACCTGCACCTGACTTTTTTTTTTTTTTTTTGAGTCCTGTCTTCTAATAAGACATAAAATTTAGAACTTAGAAACATCTTATGTGTAGTTGTGGCATAACTGCAGGCTTGAATTCTGCAGCTTTATAAGTAGTGCTGGTAATAAATTACATTTTCACTACCAGTTTTTTCCAGTAGCTGAGAAAATAAGCCCTTGAGATGGCCATGGGTCTTCTGCGTGGGATTGTGAGGAGTCAGGAATTCTGAAGTGATCAGTTAAAATTGCTTTAGAAAAAGCTTTTAACTGTTACTTTTGGTGGCTGCATAGATGAGTAGCTATCTTAAATATTTCACTGAACAATACTTCCCAACCTCTGCTTGAGTTGACTGCATTGGCGGTAAAGAACTTTTAAAATTTTATTTACATAGTTTTTGTTTGCGTAGTTTCCTGCATCATGAAGTGTGAGGATACAAATTTAGAGCTTCTGTGAAATCCAAGCTGCAGTTACTGAAGCAGTATGTTTATATGAAGGCAGTAGTCATAAAACTTTATTTTTAAAATAGGTTTTTATTTGGTTGCTTTTTGTGTAAATACAGCCTAATGGTCTTGGTTTGATCAAATGAATACAAATCCCTGTGCAGTGAGGCTTTGTTATGAAACCTAACTTTGGAGTACAGCTTACAGTGTGATAATGTGCTCTTGTAACTCAAATATCTTATGTCTAAAAATAAATGATAAAAAAACCTCAAACAAAACTTTTAAGAAAGAAGCCTTAGGGGTTTTTTTGCAAGAAGGGAAAATATTTGCTTAATATTACCTATGCACTTTTCTGCTTCCATTTATTTTGCTGAGTATTGTTGCACTACACAGAGAAGTAGGAAAAGTACAAATTATCCAGGTAAAAGTAAGATAAAATATGATGCTTCTACTAGTCCTGAGCCTCTGCGGTGGGACGTGTTCAAGGTGCTTCACAGAAAATGTATGATTTGAGGAGCACCATCCACTGGCCCAAAGTCTCCTGAAGCCTGGTAACGAGGTCTTGTGCATCACAACCCTTTTGTTGCTCTTCCCTTCTTTTTTTTTTTTTCTCTCCTCCAGTAAGGGCTGTTTAGTGTAGGTCTTGAAGCAAATTTTTGGAAGGAAAAGAATATCTCCTAAAATACAATAAATTGGCTAATTGACAGCTACAAGGCCTTCTTTCCTTGGAGACCATGATGCTACATGTATCTTGTTGTAGGAATACAGATTAAAATTATTTCAAAGAACATTAGTTGCTGTTGTATCCTTTGGAGAAGATGAATTGTGTTTCACATGACTGAGAATTCTTGCTATTATTGCTAGTTTGTTAGCGCTGTTCGTTGAGAAAACAAAATGGGCTCTAAATGACTTGGTTTCATCCCATTTATTTTTAAATGGGAAAAGAATTAGGCAGCCAGTCTGAATTTGGCATAAGAATTAATGTTTCATTGGAACTCGTGGAATAAAAGACCAGTAAATGCAACCTAGCAGTGGTTTCTAGGGAAGCATTATTTTATTTACCCTACAGTTTGCAGAAGTAACAGAAAAGACTAAGACAAGAAGCCTGTCAGCTGTGAAAGTAGATCTAAGGGATACTGGATCTTTGAGAAGTGCACAAACAAACTACAGGTTATGTGCTCTGAGAATAATTTTGGTAATCACTGAAGTGGGTTGTGGATGTCTTTTGGAAAAAAATTATTAAAATGTCTCACATTTCTTGCTTTTAAATATTATGCTTGGAAGAAAAAGCGTCTCTAAAAGAAGTCATGAGGAAAAGGTAGATTTGCTTTTGGTACCAATATGTTCATTTTGATGTGTTTTTTTGTAGTGTGTTTTGATCTGTCGCGTAAATTTCTCCTGAAGTTATAACATGTTTTTCTGTGTTCTTTTTAGCATCACTTACAGCAGTTCTATGAAAGGCACTCTTCTATAAGTGATGCTGTTTATGGCTGCCTTGTCTTGTGTGGTGTGTGGAAATTTATTGCATTGAAGCAGCAGGAATGTTCTTTCAGTGATGCATATATTTGTGTTCCCTACTTGCTCACCTGGCATTCAAGTGCTGTAGAGCAGGAAATTGTGGATGCTGGTCATGTGCTCTCATTACTAACATTGATGTGACTCAACTACACGTGCGGTTGTTACATCTTATGGTGCAACTCCATGTCAGTGTGGTGATCTGTTGTTCTAATAAAACCTATTGTCTATCTGTTGGAGGTTTGAAACTTAAAGCTGATGGCAAATAGGAAAATTCTTATTTTGGCCTCTGTTGCAGCTGAGACAAAACTTTTCTTTTGTTATCCTGAAAGTTGGTCTTATGTTCTGCATCAGGTTAAACATTAAAAGCTCCTCTTCTAGTAACCACTGAAAAATGAGCTGTCACTGATTTAGTAATACCTTTCTTGACTTTGCTTCTTGTGTTGATACAGAACAGTCAGGTTTTGGTGTATATTTATCTTTTACAGGAAGAATCCCATTCACTTCCAGCAGTTCAGTCACCCTAATGATGACGACTGTCACGACATGGAGATTATATCTCAGGATAACAACAACAACCGGCCCAAGTGTCCATATGGAACAGCTTTTTATAGGTTAGAAACACTGTACAAAGTGGCTCTTCTTGTTTACAGGCTAAGAATGTTCTCCCCTGCAGTTGCAAAATGATGGTAGAATAATGAGAATAATTCTTGGTGTGAAATCTTGACTGTAGCCTTCTGAAATGTACCATGGTCAGACTGCTACCTTTAAAACACCTGAGTCTGTGCATATTTTGCACAGTGACACAGTAAAAATCGCCGCTTTGTTTGTAATTTCAGCCGGCAAATGAAAACTTGACTCTTGGAACCTATTCAGTGACTTGAAGGTCAACACTTCTCTTTTCAGCATTCAGTAAACTGTTCTTTTATATAAATGTATGTTTTAATTTATTGTTACCTGGTATTCCTGATATGTAACTTTTAGTTTAAATTTTGATAAAGTGTTTGTTGATATTTTGTATAAAAACTATTTTAATCAGTATTTGAGTTGTTAGAAAGCATAGTTGAGGTAAATAAATAAAACCAGTTTATGGCTGACTACTGTTTTCTTTTAAGCACTGTTGATTTTCCTCAAAATATTGTTTTATTCTATTTGTTCTTCTGTATCTAGGTTTTATGCTTTTGTTTAGCAGAGTTTCACTGCCGTGGAATTCCCACAATGGATAAAAAGATATATTTTGAGGCAATAAGACTTCTGTGGGGCCATGTTGAAACTAAGGGCTGCTGTTAATAAAGATTCTTCCTACAGAGAAACCTTTTATCTTGAAAAGTGTGATGATCCTAAAGAGCATGTTCTCCATGAAATGTAACAAAATGAAGGCAGCTTTTAAGAAAAAGCCATGGTTCTATTCAGCTAATGCAGAAAAAGTGTTTCTCTTATAAACTTCTATGAGACGAACTTTTCATTTCAGGCTGAGCAATGTAGGTTTATATCAGTAATGAAATTGCCAATGTGCTTTTCAGGAGTACAGTGGATGCTTTATCTAAACCCCAAACTGTCTCTCCTTCCAGATAAGACAACCTCTGTGTTGTATTAGTTGGTAATTTCTTAATATTTGCTTCATTCTTTGGGCGTAGAGGAAAAGAGGCATCCGTGAAACAGTGATAACTCTTTTGATAAGCAACAGATATAATTTGAAGGTTTTTCGTGTTCTTTTTGTTGTCCTCCTGTGTTGGCCACTACTTGAAGGGAGCATAATCAACTGATCTAAATGCTATGCCTTGAAAATTATCCATGAAATACCAGGGAATTCTGGACTTGTTAAGTGTGGAACAAGGTGATGAATCAAGCTTTTGCTATTTTCTTCTTTGCAGGAAGAACCCACAGCACAAGCTGGAATACAAGCACACTGCGCCTCCAGGTAAGCCAACTTGTTCAATACTGCTCAAAGTGTGAGGGAAAAAAAACCCAAACCCAGTGATGGATACCCAAAACTTGTAATAAAATGCTTTAATCTACTTTTAGAATAAAATTTACATCTTACTCTGTATTTGGATTATTTTTTTTCTGGGATTTTTTTTCTTTTGGTAAGTTAAAATTTTAAAGTTTTTTGATGCTCTAAACCAAACATTGCAACCATATCTGTTGTCTTTCTGTGTTTTCTTTTTTGGGGGGGACCAGTGATTTTCTTACTGTGAGAACTAATTGTTGCATATATGTTCTCTTGAGGCCTAAAACTGAATTTGAGTTCCTATTCTAACACTTTGTAGTCTTTTTATATTCCAGCAACTTGACTTGTTGATAAACAGAGGGGAATGTGCTGTTTACATTTTGTCTGTTCTTAAAGAATTGAAAGAGATTATTCGCATTTTACTTCACATTTTTTGTGCTTTTTCTAGATTGTTGAATCTAGGGTTTTTTTCCACGTGAAATCCCAATGCAATAAACAGTAGTTTAGAGCAGAACATTAATGGAATTGTAATGATAATGTATTTTACTGTAAAGACTCAGGATTGTGACATTACTAAGGAAAGAACTGCAGTTATGGAAACAATAGAGTAAAATATATAAATGCTTTTTAATACTCCAACTTTCTTCTTAAAAACCCCCAACCTTTGTTGGTGACATTTGTCTACAGATGGCAAGGGGTCATAACACTGAGAACAGTTCATCTGGATAATCTCTTGGGAATGATTCAAGGCAAAAAAGGTGGTTTTGGGCAGCAGACTGGCTTTTATACTTGTAAGTGCAGCACAACCATTGCAGGATTTGTTTAATGGCATAACCCTTATGTCAGGGTTCACTCTGTCCTGACTAAAAACTTCCCTTTCTTTAGGAACTGAAAAGAGGAACCCGACAACGAACTTCAAGAAATGGTGAGTGTGTTCTAAAGTTATGAATGGGCATATCAGCATGGGGCACATCAGGTCTGCTGTGGGTTTTTTGGCATTTAATAGTACTATAGATGCTTGCTAATACTTACCCGAGAAGAAAGTAATTTTTATTTTAGTAAAACCCTTCTTGTTTTTTTACAAGTAATACTGCTTCAATTGAATTTGTGCCAGGCTCTCTGAATAATCATGTCTGTACTTCCCTGGAAGCAGGCAAGAAAACAAACAAGTTTTCTAACAAGAGACACATGTGGCTAAATCAATTCTTCCTTACGCAGGGGCCACAGTAGGATGAAAGGAATCCAATATTTCATACAAAGCTAGGTAAGGTTGCCCCATAAAGATTGATTGCTCCTGAAACATGTAGATATTCCTTGTGCATTCCATTGACCTTGAAATAACTTTCAAGTGATAATCTGTGCATGTGAACATGAACTTTTCTTAAACTTGCAATTAGGTATTGATATTTCAGGGTAAATACTGGCTTGTTAGGACTAAAGTGAAAGAAGTTTATATGTTGTGGATGCATAGTTTTAAATGCGCTTAAGGGCTGCTTCCAGGATTCTTTTGTGTCTCAGCTTCTAAATGTGAAGCTTCTTATTCTTCCTAAAATAATTTAAAAGTGAGCTTTAAAGAGCAGTGAAATTGTGATGCTATGTAGTCTTTGCTTTCACTGGCCTGAGCAAGACAGGAAGGTGTGGAACTGCTGCATGTTGAGCAGGAGTGGGAACTGGCTTGTCTTCCTTGAGATCACCAAGGTGTGGCTGGGCATTTCCTAAAGAATTCCTCAAATGAGATCTGCCTTTTAGAGAAAATAAATAAAAGTGCAAATAGTTGTAGTTAGTTTTCTAGGCAAAGTGGTTTGGCCTTCATTTCTGTTGTGGGTGGGTGCAGGAGGTTGTTTTAAACTTCCTGCTGAGAAATTTCTTTCCTGTACCAATTCCTTATCAAATGTGTGCACTTTGGCTCTCACCAAATGCTTGCTATGGTTGTATCTGTGCACCAGAATACTCCAAGGCATATTTGTTACCTATGTGCTTTGGTGCATCCTGTTATACAAGTACCAACCCCATCTTGATCAGAGGTCCCTTGTAAAAATGTGTTACAGAGTGGTCAGAGCTGTTGGCAGCAGTGTAAGAGCAGTGAGTGGTGAAGATTTTGGAATGAAACTCGGCTGGGCTGTGTGCATATCTAAAAGTCTAAATCTATCAAATTCAACTCTCGTTACTAAGTAACTGGGGAAGAATTGATATTCCATGCACGGGGGAAAGAAGGGAATTAATTCATTAAAGTGTTCTTCATACTTACTGGATTTTTAAAAATTTTTAAATGTCTTGTTGACTGGCTTACTTAGCTCTCTCGAGGGCAGAGCTTGTGAAAGGTAATGCTCAGCAGGTTCACACCTGAGGCAGTTGTACCAAGCAGGGTCACACAGTCAGGGCTTCTTTAACCTTTATTTTGGCACAAATGCACCATTAAGCATAGCAGGATTAGTTTGCCTACATGTGTATTTAAACTCCACCAGCCAAGAGAAGAGGCTCTGTGTGACATTTGACATGTTTGGTTTTTAACATTTTTAGTCTAATTGCTACCAGAGGGTTTACAAATTGCCTGCAGAGAGTGTTCCAAGAAATAGTCTGAGACAAATTACTGAGGGAGTAGTTGTGAGGGAGGAAGAAAAAAAAATGTCAAGAGTTATGCTGTCATTAAATTGTCACAACTGAATGACCTCACTGTATTGTTGCTACTGAGATGAATGACCTGCTGTGACCATAGAATATGCAGGATTCTCCTATGCACAGGTTTTCTAGCAAGCTGATCAGCTCACTTCCAAATAGAACTCTTTGGGAGGAGTCGTCAGCAAGCTTTTTCTCCCCACATGAAGGAGATACTTTCAGAGAAAGTTTAAAGGTCATCTTTATAAATACAGCACTGGGGAAGAGGCAGAAATGAGCAGTGTTGGGGACTGTGGTGCTGAATTAAACTACAGTGGAAAGAGATGGATGGGGAAGACATGGAAGGAAGTGCATCATTCCCTGCTGAAGTCTAAAAGCATGGGTGTACAGGGAGGGAGAACATAGTATGCTAGTTCTGCATTTGTAGGAAAAATACAGAAGTCATAAGTATTGTGCCAGAATTCCTGCTTCTCTTGTAAAATATCCCCATAGTGGTGTGAAAGTGAAGAAGAGCTTTTCTTTGCTAAGCAGCTCTTGGACTTATTAGTCTCATAAGCTTAGTGGGATTTTGTTCTTATGGCTTTCTGCGTCTTTGTTTTGGTTCCTCCCCTTCAAACCATAACTCATTCTGCAGAACCATAGTCTGTGATGAATCTTACAAGAAATTCTGCTGGTATGGGCTGACATGGCCATGATTAATTTCCACTGAAGTCTGTTAAACAATAAACTAGCAAGCATAAAAAGGAAGATAATTCTGGAACAGTACCATTCCCAGTAATAAAATAGCGTAATTGATAGAGTCTGTGGTCTGACTACACAAGGTAACAGTGATGGTGGTTGTTCACCACACGCAGCTTGAGTGCCTGGAACTCTGACCTAAAGGTTTAAGAGTTTGCTGGAAAGTGCTTATGGCTAATATAAATGTGAGGATTTGGACTGGGGTCTGTAGCTGAGAAAAAAATACATGTTCATAGTTTCATTTGAAAGCTGATGATAACTGCTCAACTGATAAGTTATCTGTCCCTATATCAAGAGATAAGAATGCCAAAATTGGAGGCTTAGACTCAGAAGTGTGACTTAATGGCAGAATAAGATATGATTGGAATATTAACAGGCCATGGCTAGTTGGGAATTGTGGACATGTAAGAAAAAGGGAGATGTCACAGGCTTGCGGAGAAAAGGTTACACATACCTGCCAAAATGCAGTGAAAATTACTTTGTTGAAGGTGCTCACTACTGATAAATAAAAGAAGTCAACGCTGCCATGTATAGATACCTACCTATCGATACCTACCAAGTCAGATAGATAAGGTTTCTTCAAACAGCAGAATTATCCTGCCTCTGGGAATCAATTTAAATGTGCCAACATGTTCAAGCTGTTGCCCTCAGGGCCAGGAAACTGGTGAGCCAGTCTGGAAGCCATGGGCCAGATCTGCTGGACCACCATGTTGTTGCTCCTGACCACCTCGGGAGCCAGCTCCTTACCTCATGGACCCTCTGGAGCCCTTCACCTTGTCCACCCTGAGAAGCTGCCCCACAAAAGTCTTTCACTGTGCCACCCCTGAAGAGTTTTATGCTGTGCTGTGCTGCCTCTGCAGGAGCCCTTTGCCACAAGGCCCAGCTCTTTTTGGAATCTCATGTTGTATTATGATGGTTTCCTTCACCTTACTGCCCAACTTTTATTGGAGTCGTTCATCACAGCCTCTCAGAGAAGTCCTTCACTGTCTTTCTTTAGCACATTGCCCACTGATTCTTTTGTTTTCTTCCTCACCTGGTATTTTTTGGAGTGGAGTGCATCACCATGTGGCACTGGAGTAGTCCTTCAGACCTGTTTGTTTTATTTCTTTGGCTTTTCAGAGGCTCCCACCTCTTTTTGAGGTGTTTCACCCTATGGCTTTTCTCTTGACTTCTACAGTGACTGGTGTATGTTGGAGCATTTTACAGAGCTATTCTGGAGCAGTGCTTCACCCCTGGCTTTTTATGAGTACTGCATGCCCAGATTTTATTGCTGTGCTTTCCTGCTTCCCGTGATGCTTTCCATGTGTTAACTTCCACATTTTTTCTTCTGGAACCAGCAGATGAGCAGGTAGAGAAGTTTAAATGGGGTTTTGATGATCCTTTTTAGCTTGGGGATGCCTTTTTCCAGGGAATATTGCCATCTTAATGTGTCTTCTGTCGCTTACCAAGTCTTGGTTTTGAAGAAGGTGACTTTGTGCCTTGAGCAACTTACTATCCATGATTATTGGTGGTTTTACATCGGGATTTGTCCTGTGTTCTTTTGTTCTGCGTGGTAGTATGAAGGTCACTTTAGAAACTGCAGGGATTTCCGCTTCATCAGTGATTTTGAGGTGCAGCTAAGGGAGCTGGGGTTGTTTAGCCTGGAGAAGAGGAGGCTCAGGGGTGATCTTACCACTCTCTACAACTACCTGAAAGGAGGTTGTAGCTGGGTGGGGTTCATCCTCTCCACCCAGGCAACAAGTGACAGGACTAGGGGACATAGTTCTCAAGCTGTGCCAGGGGAGGTTTAGGTTGGACATAAGGAAGAATTTCTTCACAAAAAGGATGATTAAACATTGGGATGGACTGCCCAGAGATGTGGTGGAGTCACCATCCCTGGAGGTGTTTAAGAAACAACTGGATGTAGCACTTAGTGCTATGGTCTAGTTGATATTGTGGTGTTTGGTCAAAAGTCAGACTCTGTGATCTTAGAGGTCTTTTCCAGCCTAATTGATTCTGTGATTTTGTGATTTGAGGCTTTTCCTGGCAACGTATGTAAGGGTGCAGTCTGGAACAAAATCCTAACAGAGGGTGAGAGATCTGTGAGTCTGAGGGAGTAGTGTTCTCTTGCCTCAATTCTGCTTTTTTCTGCTCAATGGTATTTGTTTTGCTGCACGTATGGCATTGAGTGTTTGGAGGGGAGCACCCCAAGCACGGGTCACAGCCCTGCTGACACAGGGGGTGAGGGAGAATGCAGACACCACAAGCACTGGGTAAGTGCCTCGGTGCCCTAATGACAAAAGCTGAAGTATGTGTTGCCACTTGTTGGAATCCTGGGAATATCTGCATGGCCGTGTTCCCAAGGCATTTGGTGTAAACTGATGCAGTTTTCAGTGACGCTGTGCTGCAGAGGCAGCAGCTGGAGGGTGCTGTTGCCACAGGAAAGGCTGACAGGCTCCAAGAAGGAGCACAACCAAGTCTGGGCTTCTGAGTCAGTCAGTTGTCAGGAAAATTTACCATGCTGGCTATTTTGACCTACCCTGGAGGTCTGGAGGTCATCCCCCTTTGGTAAAGGGTCAATTGCTTTAATAACATACAACCTTTGTTTTCTTAGTGCTTGTTTCTGAGAATAAGTGCTTTTTCTTCTCTTAATCCTTGCTTAGTGTTTTGGGGTCCCCATTTTAGCTTGCAGTTATACATGGGTTTTTGCTTTTCATTGTGAAGGAGCAGAGGCTGGATTTTACCCTCAGTTATCCCTGGGGAAGGTGCTGCAGTAGGAAGTGAGCCTATGGTTTTAGAACTGTGCCACAGGAGGACAGCTGAGCGGGAATCTGATGTGGTAGCACCACAGTTTTGCTTTTGGCAATAAAAATTGCATCTAGCTACAACCAAGACGTGGTGGTATCTGGTTGATTCACTACATCTAAACCCTATTAAGGGCTCTCAGGAGGATGCCTCCCCCTCACCTGCACCTCATCCACGATACATCCCACACTTCCTGCATGATGAAGCCCTTATTGCATCTGTGTCCCTGGAGCTAATAATGGGCAACTGGCAGCCACAGAGGTCTCACTGCAGTTTTTCCTGCCTTCTAGGAGGCAGGAGTTCTGCTGGAAAGGCCTGCTTCTCCTCTGGAACAGGTTCTGCCTTCCTCTCAGTTTGTGCTTGTCATTCTCTGTTTAAGCATGGCTCTTGCAAGTAGAACTCGGTGTAGGTGCAGTCCGTATTCAGTTCCTTCTCTAAATATCCTTCAGTGTAGATGAGAAAGTTTCTGCAGAGAGGGGCCAGGCAGGAGGCAGCAGGGTGTCCCCTACCTGACAGGGAGCTGAGGTGTTGGCATCCACCTTCCCTTAGCCTGAGTTCTAAGGGTAAAAAAAAGCGCTTCTGTTCTTTTTTCCCTGCATGGCTCATCTAAGCTCAAGGAGTGTGGGGTCTGGCCCCCTCCCTTGGACCATGGCCTACCTGCTCCCCCCTGCCTGAGGGAGCTGCTCGGGTCATGGCCTGTCCCTGCTGCCTGCACATTTATGGAATTTTCACAGGAGTTTTTAAGTGACTTTCAGTCCACATGCAAGGCTCTGAGCCCCTGCTTGTTGGAACTCAGTTTAGGAGCAAATGTCTCTGAAAGTAGGACCTGTTTTGAGCTGTTTGGAATTGGTGCAGTCAGAGGCTATGGACAACATGACTGCTTAGTACTCTGATGAGGGAACAGGGGACCACCGCCTTTCCTCATTGGGAACCCCCCCTCTCTCTGAGGTTGCTGCTTGCAACAAATGCAGTAGAGGGCAAAGCAAAGCTTATTCTCCTGCCCTATCCAGAGGTTCAGGCTGAAACACTGCTTTGCTGCTGGGAAGACCTCAAAATGTCAAAAACATGGCAATGTTGCAGACCCCAAAACCTAAGCCTGCAGTGGCCGCTGCTGCTTTGCTACCCTTGGCAGGGACAGGGATGAGAACAGTGGGCAGGCTGGACCAAAAGAGCTCTCTTGGAGCTCTCAAAGTGATTTCCAGAATTTTAAAGCTATTCTTTCCCCCAATTTTTGCTTAGTACTATACTGCTTGGTGGGGGTAGAGGGTTTTTTTAATACCTCAGCCTGAGATGGATTTCCAGGTGTGGAAAATAGTCAGTTATTTGACTTTTGCACCAAAAGTGTGTAGGGAAAACAGGTGGAAGGAGTATCAGGACACTCTAATAGTATTCCTGGCTAATCCTCAACAACTAGTGCAGGGTTTAGGAGATAGATATGGGAGCATAGTTTCAGAAGGAACCGTGACATTTCGGGGGAGGTTAAAAGCCTTTTGATGGTGAAATATGGCAGCTCTCTGGTCCCTTAAGTTTCTTTGTCAAGCTGGGAAATAAATGTATTTAGTACTTAGCCCTATTTAAAACTGTCATTTTGAAGGATGATTTCAGTAATTGTTTTGCCTAACAGCAAATGATGACATCCTCTCCAATGTATATTTAAGAGCAGCTAATGATGAGAGGATTTGAGTGCTTTAATGGATTTGAATATCCTTCTGCCCTTAAATATAATTGGTCAATTTTTTTTTAACGGAAATGGGAATGTTCGCATTAGTCGGTTGGATAGGAAAGTGACAGCTAAGGGAAAAAGATAAAAAAATAATTCAGAATGATGATATTGAGGCCATATTTACTATTTTTATTGACAGGATTTGCTGCTCACTTAAATCCACGAATAGACAAGAGTTGTTTACAAAAACTGTTTACTCCAAAAGTAGGTGCAGCCACATACTTTAAAACAGGAAGTATTTATCATCACGATAGAAAAGATTTGATTTCAATACACAAAAGTCCACGATATCTTATGTGCAGTTTAAATGTGTAGGTATTACTGCTACTGTCACCTGGTTTGTCACGATTATCAGTTAAAAACACCCGAACTGGATTCACACAAAATCAGAACAGTAAAAGGAGCACTGGGGGAGGCAATGCAGAATTCATCTGGAGCTGGTGCTGTTGGAGAAGATAGCTCTGAATGGGAAAGATTCCAGGCGTGGAGGAGAATTTATGAGCCCTGAACGGACCTTTTACTGCTGAAATGGACAATATACACTTAAATGGACACTATTCGGATTGGACAGTTTGCCCCAGTTATCCCCGGTTCATGATTATACTGTTGTAATGTTGTTTGTACCCCTGGTTGTTGTTTTTTAAACCAAATCCACCATATTGTCTTCTTCTCCCCTCACAGTTTTCCTGCCGAAACCTGTTTACTCCCTTGTTCTCCCCCGCTTTCCCGCTCCTCTGCACCTGATTAGCCCAAGTTTGCTGCAGCACAGAGAGAGCTTCCATTGGCCCCTTCCCCTGGATACCCAGAGTTGCCACCCATCCTTCCCCTGACATCCAATCCCTGCTCTCCCTGAGTTCTCAGTCCTTTTCTCCTCCCCTATCCTGAGTCCAGCCCCTGTTCCAGCCCTATATAAGTCCCTGCTTGTCTTAATAAATTTGGCATTGCTTCACCGACCTCAGCTGTGTCCTGAACCCTCTTTGCGGTGCCCTGTCCCATATCCCTCTACCCCCATGAGCCGTGGCATGGTGCCTCACATTTGACCTGACAATAAGCTATTCAACTCAACCAGAGACTGACTTGCTGAAGCCTCTCTTGCTTCCAGGAGGACAGATCATCTTGGCATCTCCTTGGTGTTTTGGCCCCCCTTGTACTTCATGGTGAAGGTGCACACAGACTTGGTAAGATGTCTGAGCCTGGTTCAGCAAGCTGGATTTTCCTCCCTAACATGTTTTTTATAGGTCTCAATGACAGACAAGCTGAAATACATGAAATTCCATCTGAACATAAGAAAGCACTTCTTCATTGTGGGGGCTGTTGAACACTGACACAGATGGTCCAGGGAGGCTGTGGAGGCCCCTTCCCTGGAGTCAGGCAAAGCCCAACTGGACACAATCCTGGGCAACCTGTTCTAGCTGAACCTGCTTGAGCAGAGGGGTGGGCTAGGGCTAGACGATGTGGAGATGTTATTCCCCACCTGTACAATTTTGTGATGACTTCTGTGATGACCTCAACATCTCAATGCAGCAAAAGATGGTCATAGGATGCCTGGAGGTGAGGGAACAGGTCCCTCCATATCTGTCTGTGCCGTTTCCAAATGCATGACAGAGTAGCACTCTTCATAAAACTACAGAGTGGAATGGTGATAAAACATTCTTAAACAAGGTGTCACAGGAAGAGGCTTGAGGTTTTTCACTAGACTGTGAAGCAGGTTTCAGCTTTGTAGAGCATGTGCCTTTCACGTGCTGCACATTAGACAATAGGAAGCTGGTGGTTGTAGAGAAGCAAGATTCAGGATGGGAACAGTTCCAGGCATGGAGAAAAGCATACAGCAATTGGCAGGACTTTCATATGGACTTTACTGTTATTATGTGGTTTCACTGTATCCATGCTACACAGTGCACAACTGCACATGCCCAGGCTTCCTCCTCCCCCTTTTGCCTGTGCTCTGTTCTGATTTGCTCCCCCATTTGTCTGTCTGATAGCCCACCCGATGTTCTGCCCCCTTCCCCTGGGGCGGGACAGTTAAGAATGGGGCGCACGCCTGAATAAACAAGTCTGCTTGCATCCTTCCTCGTGTCCTGTCCCCTCTTCCTTTCTGACCGCGACAGGTGGTCTGTAGATTTCAAGGACCTTCGTGATGATGGGTAAATTTAGAGGTTAAAGAGTGACAAATGGGCTTTTTTTACCATCCTTCCTCTCCTGAGCAGAAGGAAAAGGACACTAAATAGCTTAAAGGGACAAGTGATAAGATCAAAGTGTTTAAGAGGTTTCTCTTAAGAGAGGCATCACTGCTGGGCTCAGCACTCAACTCTTCCTTTGTTGTAATATGGTCTAATGCATTCATAGACTTTATTGTTCTTCTTAACTCTAAAATGAGTGTCTACATCTCAAATTTACAGATAGGTGACCTGAAGCACAGCATCAGTCTTAGGGATGTTGTGAGGCACAGAGTTAGGGGTATTATCTAGAAGTCCACTGAGAAGAGTTCTTGTGGGAATGCAGGCTGCTTTTTGAGGGATCTCACCAATAGTGGGTATTCCCACAGACAAGGGAGAAGCTTTTGAGGAGACATTATTTCCTCTTTAACCCCCTCTCCAAAACAGATGAGATTTGAACTGCAGAAAATTTATTTCAGTTTTATGCAGTCTACCTCCTCTGTGACTGGCATTGCACTTGTTCTCAGGTCCAGATCTGTGCTGGATTTGCTTCCATTATACGTTGATCTCCATCTGAGCAACATGATCTTCTTGAAGTACTTCATGGTGTTGTTTTTCACAGTTACAAAACACATGGTGTTTATCATGCTGTTACTCATGGCAATGCACTTAACTATGTAAAAGACAGTAAGATAATGCTTCTCTTTCACAATGATGGTGGGGAAGAAGTCCCGGACAATTGCGAAGCCATAGAAAGGTGCCCAGCAGAGAACATAGGCAGTCAGGATGCACATCAGGACCATAACAGTTTTCCTTCTGCATCGAAGCCTTTTTCGGATCTGTTCTGTCTGGAATCCTGGGACAGCTTTAAACCAAAGCTCCTGAGAGATCCTGGCATAACACAAAGTCATTGTGATCACGGGTGCCACGAATTCAATGCCAAAGATGAAGAGGAAGTACGATTTGTAGTATATTTGCTGGTCAACTGGCCAAATTTGGCCACAGAAAATTTTCTCCTGGTTTTTCACTATAAATAACACCGTTTCAGTAGCAAAGTATGCAGATGGAATAGCTACAAGTATGGAAACAATCCAGACCGAGGCGATGAGGAAGGTTGCTGTTTGGTAATTCATGCGTGGTTTTAGTGGGTGAACAATGGCCAGATACCTGGAATAGACAAATACATTCAAAATGAAGCCCGAAAACACTGTTAGTCTGAATACACTTCAAAATACAAAGGGGCAGAACTGGGCAGGAGGAAATTGCTGTCATTCCTGAACATATTTGTCTGTAAGAACAGCTTACAGGTCTGAAGTAACAGCCTGGAGCTGAGCTACAGTTTTGCATCACCACTTTTCCTTTTTAATAGGAGTGAGAGTTTGAAATGTGGAGTAATACATTCCTAGTCATGACAAACATGTAGAAACAGGAAGATGCTTTCCTTAGGCACAGAGCTACTTAAATATGCTTTTTTTACAAAGAGGTCAAATATACATTACAATGTTTTTCTTATTTCCTTGGCTATTCCATGGAGTGCAAAGAGCTGATGGTGATGTTAATGAGTGGTTACAGGTGAGCATGATTTCAAGCCACCAACAAAGGACAGTGTACCTGTTTTCTGCCCATGCAAATCTTTTTTTGTGTGTGTTTTTTGGAGGTGCTTATTAATCTTAAATGTACTGTGTTAAGTAATATGGCAGAGCAGAAAACTTGAGTTAGATGTTTTCACTCCTTATGACTGTACAGCTGCAAGTTTGGGGTATTCCTGCTAGAAGAAGATGTTTGAGGCACACCAGAGCTCCCAATACAACTATATTTAACCCAAAGGATTGCTTCAAAAAATAGAATTTCTCATTCCTGTGGAGTCTTTTCCATCTGTATATATTCTATATAAAGGTAGCATCCACAGGATAAATTAATTCTAAAGTAAAGTGGAAGGTCAGCAGTGCTTTTTGCCAGCCAGATTTTGGAAGCAGATGAATTGTTCATGGCTCTTAATAGTGCAGGATAGGTGTCGGGGCCAGCAGAATTAGTCAGCCTCATTGTGGAGCTGATAAATGAACATTTTTAACTTGGTTTCTGTGAAAGCAGGTCGTGGGATGATGTATGTGTATGTATTCATAAATATGCATATCTGCTCAGCAGAACATTTGACTCAATGGAATCAGTCTGTCTAAGAGTCAGGACAGAGCTTTTGTGGTGGATTTCCTGATTGTCATTGTTTAGCACATTGCTTACCCGTCTTTTACTGTGGAGTGGTCCTGCAGCACGTGAACTGAATTCAGATGAAACTGCCCTGGTAGATGTTCTCCAGAAGTGTAAGTAAAACACATCAAGTGCCCATGGACGTTCAGTCCAGGGGATCCAGCTAAAGCTACCTGCCTCCCCCCCCCCATATTTACAGTGGACTCTTATCACGTGATCTTGCTCTTCAGATCCTCTCCTTTTACATTGTATTATTTTCTAGTGTAGGTGTGGCCTTAAATGTGTGAAATTCCTACGTTTCCTGTGAACAGACATCAGTGAAGATGAAGGAGAGCCCTACCTGAGGAAAATCCTGTGGGACAGACTCACCCTGTTGACACAGGTGATTCCTTCTAAATGATCTAAACATGAGAAGACTTTTATTAGAGCCTATTCTTTTTTAGAGACCAAAGTCAACAACCCACTTGACATAACCAACATGGAATGGGTGATTGTTAAACAAATGAGGTTTCTCTCTGTTTACCAAGTCAAAACCTCACAAAAAAAAAAAAAAAAAAGGGCAGTGAAACCAAAACCAGTGTGTTCTTACAACAAGCTTCAGTGATTAATCTTTTCCAGAGTTGTTTTTAAAGATGTGTAGGGAGATATGCTAGAAAACTGATTTCTTAGCAGACATAAGGGCTCCATGACCCATGTTATTTCATCAACCTGGAATGCACTAGCAAAGCATTCCAAGAAGATTTTGTAGAAGTTGAAAAAGTGTTAGAAAATGGTAATACATACATGATAGTGTTTAGAAGCTTTACCCTGAGTCCTCAACTGCTGCTGAGATGCTATTTTGTTAGATGCTTGTAAAGGATTTGTTTCATAGGAGCTGATTGTCCCCTCACCCACACCAGGCAAAATCTCTCTGAACTTCCCCAGAATCTTTCCACAGAGTTCTGCTGACATCAGGAACAACTGAATCAGCCACACACGAGCTGTATCTGTGCAGCTATCAGAGCTCACTGCTCCTAAGCTGTCTTTTGGATCAGGTGCCAAAAATCATGCAGCATTAGACTAGACCATGAAATGGCACATGAGAGAAATTGGGGACAAAAGAGAAGGAAGGGTGGGAAACATGCAATGTATGTATGTATATTGCGTTTGTACACAAGAGAGGGCTTTTAGTGGTGACCTTTCTATGAAGAGTTTACTGAGTGGGTCACTATCTTTCTGTGAGTCAGTTGTCAGCATGAGACTGATCCTCAGAGCCTGGGTCTGTCAGAGTCCATGGTACACAAGACTGAGAGAAGAGGAATCATAAGAAATAATTATATTATGACTATTTTATATTGTTAAAATTCCTGGAGTAAGAGGCAGGCAGTCTCTCAGGACTGCAGCATAGTTAGGGAAAAATTTCTTTGCTGAAAGGGTTGTAAGGCATTGGAACAACCTGCCCAGGTAATAGTTGAAAAACATGTGGATGTGGCACTCGAGGATGTGGTTTAGTGGTGAACATGGCTCAGAAGCTCTGGCCACCTCTTCATACAGTCACAGCACCCCACTTACCTGTCAACAGCTATAGCCAGGAGAGCATTGGTGGAAACATAAAGGGAGACAGTCTGTAGGTAGTTGACCAAGGCGCAGAGGATGTGGCCGTGCTCCCAGGACAGCTGCCGCACCACGTAATAGTCCATCTCGAACGGGCAGCACACGATGGCCACAATGAAGTCCGAGATTGCCAGGTTAGCAATCAGCAGGTTGGTGAGGTTCCGCAACTTCTTGTAGCGGACGAGGGCAGCAATGAAGATGAAGTTGCCGATACCGCAGACCAACATCATGCCAACCAGGGCCACCCCAATCACGATCTTGGCCACAAAGAAGGTGCGGGTTTTGGTCGTGTCGTCTTCGCTGTCCAGGGGCAGGTCATAGTCACTGTAAGTGAAATTGAAAGGGAAGGAGAAGTTCCACAAGGAGCTGAAATCTCCATCGTGGAGGTTGTAAATTGCAGCAAAGCTGAGGTGGGTGGAGACGTTTGGGTTATGTTCAGCTCGCTCTGTGGCCATGTCTATTTTCCTGTGACACGTGTGTCTTGGAGGGCCCTTGGTGTTGTGTTAGAGTTACCCACTGTGGCAGGGCATGAGACCTCATCCAAGGTTTCCTTCTGAGCAGTGAGTCACCTTGTCTTTGTCCCTGGAAGACTATTGAGCAACAGCCTCATTCATCTCCTCCTGTGGGAACAAAAAGAGGAAAATGTTTCCTGAAAGGAAGTGACAGCAAAAATGCTGAGCTTGAAGGAAAGCAATAATCTTCTTACTGCCCCACAGCTCTGTTGGTGCCTGTGCATGGTGGGAAGAAATACCCTGTGAAGGGATGCTTTTGTTCTTGTAAAATAAATGCCTTGAGTTGCATCATACACTGGTTGTTACAGTGGCAGTTTTATTTACCAACAATGAAATTTTCAACACAAAGTGAAATGACAACATAGGGGAAGTGTAAAATCCAGTTTAAACCTCCACCAGCCTTCAAGCTTATGGTGCTGTCATCCCTGTGCAACGTAAAAGAAACTAAAATGACATCTCAATGTACTGAAAAGCATCTGATGTGCCTTTTGGACAAAGTCTGTGTGTTATTCTAGATGTCTCAAAGAGATGTGGTAGATGAGAATGAAAAAAGAACTGATGTCCTGACTTCTAAATACATTCCTTAATTAAGAAGGAGTTGCAAAGACGCAGGAAAACAGTGAAACCAGCACTTTCCTTTTGGCAGCCATTAATTGAGTATGAGGACCAGATTTTCAGCCGGCATCATCCATTATTGCTTCTGTCAAACAGGTGAAGCTCTGCCAATTTGCATAGGTGAGATTTTGTTCAGTGAATCAGCTTGTAGGGCTTTGCTGTGAAGGCAAATCTGCCTTTCACCTTGAGGTGAAAGGGAAAATCTTCCTTAAGCGAGACAGAGTGCCTTGAATTTTTGATGCTGGGGAGGAGCAGGCTCCCCTACTTGTACTGCTGGTTGTACCAAATGTTAAAAAATTATTTATTTTTCCACACAGAGGGGGAAAAAACCTCTCATCTACCCTCCAATTTTGCCTCTCTGTATCAAAATGCTGAGAGGGCTGTCTTCTTGCATCTTCCCATGCCCCATCTAGGAATCCTCACACCAGACTTTCAGCTGTCAGGACAGTCCTACCCTATCCCAGCAGAGGACTGGGGGGAATTGCTGCTTTTTCTGCACTCAGGCAGTAGGTCTTCAGGGTGTTAAATGCTATTGAACAATAGCGGTTGTGGCTACAAAGGACAGTCTCTGTAGTGGAGCTCTTGCTCCCTTTCCCTGGAACCACCCTCAGCCCGTGATGTACTGACACTTAAATTTCCGAGAGAAACTCTCTTGTACAGCTTTGATCTCCATATTGCTCTTCTAGCTGATGGTTGCAGAAGAAGAGAATAACAGAAAGCCAAAGCCTGAAACTGAAGAACAGTTCCAACAAGGGACTGCTTTAGGTAATGCAAACATTCGTTTAAGAGAAGTACTAAACAAACACTGGGACACAAAATCTGTCTGTCAGAGCAAGGAACATTATCTGTTTCAGACAGGTTTTGCTGCAAAATACCAAGAGAGCTATAAAATAAATACAGACAACACAACCATCTGTCATAACACAACAACTGACATATCAGGAAAGTGTACCTGCAGTTGCTCTCATCTTCTTGGAGTTCTCAGGCACCCTGGGGAGAGCCTCCAGGTTTCTTCCCTGCACCTGTGCTGCTGTCACCGGAGCAGAGAAAGGATAGCTGGAAGCAGCCGGAGGACTCTGCTGAGTGCTCATTTCTCTCCCAGACAGGTTTGCCCTGTGCTCAGGGGAGGATGGCTCTGCTGTCTCTGTGCTTGCATCCAAAGCCTTCGCTCAGGGGGAGGCACCTTGAAGCTGTCCATGCATTTCTGATTTTAAAGAGGCAGTGCAACCTGCAGACAATAGAGCACAGCCTTAAACCCTACGAATGCATGGAATTGGCATGGAATTGCTTTGTTAGCCCTCCTGAGCATGGAAGGTGTAAACCCTGGTCTGCACTTGCTCTTTGGGTTTTGCCTGTGCTGGGCAACAGCTGCCTGCACCTGATGTGACACAGAGGCAAAACACAGACCTCCCAGTGGAGAGGAGGGGGAGGAAGGACGGTGATCTTCTTTCCCAGGGACCTTTCTCTGTGGATCTCTCTCCAAGCTATTGTCTTTAGGACTGCAGCTGCAGCAGCTCCTGCACACGGAGGGTCAAACAGTGAATAGCTGTACATCAGAGGACCCCTGACAGCTTTCCTTGCCCTCTCAGGGAATTACTCAGAGCAGGAAAGTGGCAGTGAATCCTTAAGAATTTGTCCTTTGCTAATGCTGCCTCCTCACATCTGTGAAACACTTGCACCCCAGGGAGCAGTTCTTTTGCTTCCCAGTTCTCCAGAAGGAAAGGAAATGCACAGCAGATGCCCAGTCCTCTTCTTCACCTCCAGACTTATTCGCATTAGCTGACGTTTTCCAAGATGCACAGTTGGGACACATTGCATAGCCCCTTCTGGATAAGACTGTCAGAGGCTGTAGAGGGTCATGAAAAGTGTAGAAGGTTTGCAGAAAACTTAAACTACGTGACCCTCAATGCACACTCGCAAGACTAGACTCTTGTGAGCTAGGGGGTACCTGGCTCTGGAAGAAATAAGTGAGGAAAGAAATATGCTAATATAAAATGTGTCTGGGGTAAAAGGGCTGCTGCTGTGGCATTTCTTGCAGAAACTTGAGGCAAGGCCAGAGAGTCCCCACTGTCTGGAGCCAGCAGACAGCATTAAGAATTTCATAGCAAATACTTTGCTTGGCTTTGTTTTGAAGTCAGTGTAATAGGTGAAAAGCCATGAAGGGATTTTTAATAACCTGAAAGGGTGCAACCAGATGTATAGTGAGGAAATCAGATCCACTTTCCAAATTCTGTCACAAGAAACGTAAATAGAGTAAGTATAGGGAGAGACAAAGTGAACTTAGGGTGTACATCACAACCACATCAAAAAGATCCCTAAAATGGGCCACGTAAACCTTCAATGTCCCTGAAGAAAAGCCAATACTCTAAAGAGAGCTTTACATTTGGAACATCCGTGATCTCTTTAAGACTTTGTTCAGCTGTCTCACATGAAGTTATCTAATGAGTTAATTGAGCAACATGATATCCAAATGTTTATACTCCTTTAGGCCAAAACCTCATCTGCTGCAGAACTGTCTCACTCCATTGACTCAGGGCAAGTTGGCATCAGAGCCCTGATAACTACAGCCCCTCCAGATGAGCTCACTATGGAGCTTCTGCACAGCAGGAGTTCATCTCCTGTGATCCAAGGAATTGTGCTGTATGTGTCAAGCTGTTTCTCGGGAAACACTAGTAGGATTGTGAAATAATGTGCTTTGTATGTGCTGTGCAAGACAGTAGTTGTTGACTGGGAATCAACAGAGAATGAAACCAACAGTGCTGGGAGCTGCCCTTACAGCCACATGGGCAGAGGTGGATCTAGAGCCTCAATAAATGTCCCAGTATCCTTATCCAGGGCTGGGGCAGTAGTGGAAGGGCTCTAAAGCCATGGAGTACATGCAGGAGGTGTATGCACATGGTTCTGTTGTAGGATTTCTGCCTAGGACAAGGTTTCTCCTTGATAAAATTTATTGGCAATTCCCCGATGGTGTCACAACATTTAACAGCAGTATAACAAGATGTTTCCTGAAATCAGTGTTAACGAGTGTGACATAGTCAGGCTTAGAAGGAAAAGTTGATACTGAAAACTATCATGTAAACAATCTACATTCTGTTTTATTTGTTTTTGTCATTAGCATGCTCACAGTTTGAACAGGGAAGTTATTTGGAGGCTAAATGTTGCAAAAAGAATTGCAATGTGAAGTACTTGTTTTGAGACTTTCAAATCATGAATTTCTAAACCCAACATTTAGCCTGAGAACAGACCTAAGGACTGTGACCCTTTGTTTCAAAAGAGCCAACTCACCAGCTACTGTCTAATTTTTCCTAATTGCTAAATAAATTGGACTCTGAGGTGATTAATCCTAGGGAGCTGACCTAAGCTTTGCTTAAAGTCTGGCTGGGGTTTTACGAAGGTTACTGATAGAAATCTGTTGGTGAAATGGGACAAAGCATCAGACCTCGTGATTTTCTGGGAAATCAGACAAAAGGTGCCAGCACACATGGATTACAACCATGTGTATTCCTGCTCAGAATTCCCAGCAGACATTCGTACTCAACCTGAGAGTGTGTAGCTGATGTTAATGTTTGACAGAACATTTCTGCCGTTGCCTGCAGAAAGAGTTAGGTGCAAATTTTTTAATACATGGAAATATGCTGTGTGGTACAAGAGGAAAGTGACTTTTGGATAGAGTTTGGCAAAAATGTGCACACAGGAGTAATCTCACCCTGCTTGGCTGTTCCAGTGGTGACATGGGATGTGGAAAGATCCTGGGAAGGAGTGAGCAGAGAAGTGTTTGACTTTGTTACTGGATTATGCCACCATGTTACTTTCCTGTTACCATCTTTCTTCTGATTCCTTACTGAGAGTATCGCTTTGTGGCTTGGGAAAAGGGACAAAACATCTGAAGGAGCAGCAGACAGTGACATTGTGCTAGGATGGTTGTCGTCATTGTTGGAACAGTAGATGTGACGCTTTCATCCGAAAAGGTCTTTTCCTTTCAGAGCTGCACAGGTTTCTCTGGACAGGGGTGTTCAGGTGTCTCTCACAGCCGAATGACACAAGGTTTAGCCGAGCTGCCCAGAGCTCACTTCATGTGCAAGGTAACCCAGAGGCAATCAACAACTCTTTTCCAAGTAGAAGCTTCTGTGTTTTCACTTGTCTGGGTTTTTTTCAACTTTTTAATTCTCTGACAGTTTTCTTCATCTTTGTTCATCTTTTTGTGATTGCATAAGAAAATGGCATTTATTTTGCTCAGTTCAGTTTAACATGGCAGTCCCCTGTGAGAAGCACCCCCTTGGCCTCAACAAGAGTCTATGAATATGTAGAAATAGCTCTAGGAAGCTGATGTTCCTAACTGGCACTTGTCACCCTCACTAGAGAAGCAAAAGTGACAGTATTTGGGGCAGGTTGGAAAGCAAGGACCAGCCCAGGGACTGTGCATGAGTTTTGATGCCACAGTAGATGACATGAATGACCACAAGAAAAACATTTCAGTCATTAAACATTGAACATTTTTTTTAATTATTAACTATTCCTTTGATTTTTCTTTTCTTTTGGATGTATTTGTTGGGCTTTGTGTGTTTGGTTGTTTTTTTCTTAAATCTGCCTTCCTTAGAGCAAATGTCTGTTAGCACAAAACCTTCTCTTGAGCAGAAGGCCTCTGAATGGCAGATGTTAAGAGATCTCAGGATTATCATCTAATCTGTAGTGCTGTTCCTGGGCTGCATTACATATACCCAAATAATTTATGACAAGTGCTTTCCTGGTCTGTTGGTGAAGAAATTTTGTAATCTAGGGCTCATGTCTTCTGTATGAGACTATCAAATGTTTTTCAGCTGCACCAGATAGAATTTTAATGGACCTACTTTAAATTCCTCGTTCTACTATGTCTGATTGAGATCTGAAGTCTGCATTTGGCCTTTTCCTCAAGAACAGGTTTATTCATACCAATATTCAGAAGCCTTTGAATTTAGAAACAAAAAGGAGCTTAATATGTCCTATGTCTCAGTGAGGCTTGTCAGTCATTTGGATTTTCAGAGACTGCCCTGTTGATTTTGGATCTTACTCAGAGATACACTTAGTGGATCTTCTCTTTCAGTGGGTGCTATGAGCCGAAGAATGCTTTTGGAAACAAAGCAGCTCTTTAATTGAAGTGTCTTGATAGGAGATATATCCTTTCAAAAACCTGCTGACTTCTTTGGAGGTCTAAATAGGCAAAGTTGGATGCTGCATTTTTTAAAAAATTAAATTGTCATCCATTTCAGCTAATCTCAAATTTATGCTCAATTGTGAGCACTTTGCTATTGCTATTCTCTTTTGACAAAGCCCTGCAATTTGTGTTATCATCACTTCAGCATCTTCTTTTTTCTGCTCTTCATATTGAGTGATCATTGCTTCCTGTTCACTTGCCCTGGACAGAATCATGTCTCCCCTTTGGAATATTGTGGTGGGTTTGCCATTACCATTTGCCATTGCCGTTTGTCACTGGTGATTTGGTATTTCACGATGGCAGGCAGAATGGTTCCAAGAGTTTCCCTCTGCTGTTCCCATAATCCCACTTTCACCTAAAAGACACCCTCCTTTTCCTTATTTCTACTCTCAGCATAAACAGACAGAGCAGAGCACATCACTCTGAGCACTTTTACATCCAGCAGTGATTTGTGGAGGTCTGGCTGGCTCACGCACATGGAGAGAGGAGTCCTCTGTTCCAGGTCCTTGGCTTCTCCCTGTAGCAAGACATGAAGTATTTAAAGCTCATGCCTCATTCTACAGCCTGACATGGGTTTTGGGGCTTCATTAAAAGTTAATAGTTCTTTATGTCTCACAAGTTATTTGAGATTTAAAGGGCTGTTGGAGTTCACTATCAATCAGAGAAAGAGATTAATATTCTGTGAAACCCTTATTGCAGATATTGCTGGCTATTTCTGCACACACTTCAATTCTAACTCAACAGAACAATGCCTAATGGTAGTTTCATTTGAAGCTACTCAGAGCATGAAACCACAATCTTGGTGTCAGGATGAGTCATGAAAAGATGCTGTCACACCTCATTTCTGACTTTACAAAAGGCTTTGTGGTTTTTCTGATGTGGTGTCAAAAGTGCAGGACCTGATCAGCTGCCTCCTTCTCATTTCTGAAGTCTGAGAGTAACACTGTAGAAGGGACGGGAGATGACGGGCATATCCATACTCCCCAAACTAGGTGGAGAGGAAGCAAATCCATGCCAAAAGGTGCACATCCATGATTTGGGTTGATGGCTATGCCCCCCCCAGCACCCCAGGGCTGACTGCTGTCTGTGTGGCTGGT